CTTTTTTTTGTTTTAGTTACCAACTAGGACTCATAAACACTTCCTTCTTTCTCTCTTCCCTTTCTTCTTTCTCTCCTTCCTTCCTTCCTACTTTCATACCTTTGGTGTGTAGGTGCTACAATTTATATAAAGGACAAAGCAAAAATTGCTGACCCTGAGGAAGCAGGGTGGGTTACCATTTGGTGATGATATACCTGTTAACATCTCAGTTTGTTTTGTAACTCTCCAAAGGGACTGCACAAGTTCTCCCTAACATTCAGTTCTGGAAGGGAGGGGCCCTGGGCTAATGTACACAATGTTTGGAGACTAAAAATACTTGCAACTTAGGTTCTGTCTGGTGGTGGAAGCATGTGAGTGACTGTAAACTTGGTCCAGCCCTGTGATGCCTCCTTAATCAATATCATGTTTTCTGAGGTCAGCAGTAGGGGCCCTGGAAATCTACTCCATCACTGGTTGACTTTCAAGGAAGCTTTACCAGAGAAGGAAACCTAAACCTCCTTGACCTATCAGAGGAGTACAAACACCTTTTTTGCCCCTTCATATGGAAGTCATTATGGCCTCTTCAAGGACAGAGAGTTACAAATTGATGGAGCTCCATTTTCTTGGACATTTTGGTGTCAGAGCATTTAAACAAATGTATGCTTTGGGCATCTCCTACTCAGGAGACGATGTCTTAATTATTTTGACTGAAGCCAGAGCATGTTGTGTGTTGTAAACATCTGGTTTATCATTCATCCAGCTGAACTGGTTTATATTTTGTTAGAAGAAAAGGCTTGGGATTAAAGGCATTTAAGTAATTAAGCACACGTCAAGACAATTTGGTGATGGGTAAATATAGTCTCTGTTAAATGCACCGTCTGGGGGCTCTGGTTTCGATTTATGTCCGGCTGGAGCGTAGGGATGAAAGCGGAATGCGGGGCCGACTGGGCCTTGTTCTGGGGGGAATCAAAACCAAATGGGCTTTCAGGAGTATGGCACCATTCTTCCAAGTACCTGTCCCAGTGGATGAAAGTTTCCTTTGAGTTTGGCCTGCGGGGAGTAGAGTGTGGTCCCTGTCACCCAGAAGCATTTGTAGATTTAATGAGCCTCTCTTTGGGAGGCAGACTGTAAACTCTGCACTTTGGTTGTGCCTTTGTGTCCAGGAAACAGATGTCTCTGGAGCTGAATGTGAGGTTTTGGATGATGAGTGTGTGTTTTCAGGTACCAGTGCCAGGGTCTGAGCCTGTTCTAGTTGTGTTTCTTGGTTCTAGTGCTTTTGGACATGCAGGAGCAGTAATGCCAGGGCAGGCTGGACCAGGATATAGAGTGAGTGGTGAGAAAGTAAAACTTTTCCTTTGGGGCTCAGAGTTCTAAGCAACAGATATGAATTGCCTGGCGATTTGGAGGAGATTTGATCAGTGAGAAGCCCAAAGAGGTTACGCTTTGGTTGAATGAAGACATTGCTGCTCTTTGGGGGAATATAGGAAAAGGAAAACATCTTTGGAGCTTTCTTGTCCCCAGTCCCTACTCTGGAAGTAATAGAACAAAAGTTTGGAGGTTCCCACCCAAGTCTATAGCAGTATAGACAGACTATAGATGTGATCCTGAAAAAGAAAGCTTTACTATTTTACTAGATGGATGGTATATGATGGAACCAATTAGCCTAGTTTTACTGAAAAGAAAGGGAAAAATCAGAATTTCAATTTTCAAAGCAGAAACTTTTTTCAAAAAAGTGCTTGATTATTTTATTGCACTTTCAAACTAATTTCCATGCTAGTTTGGGGATAGAATCTTGGATTCTGAAGTCTGAGGATAAACTAAGAGGCCAGCATATGCCTAGTCTTGGATCAAGTTGTGGACAAGTAACTTTCAGCTCCCCTCCCCTGTCTTTCCTTTTTTTGTGCTCTCTCCCTTTCTTCCCCTGCAGACACTGATGAGAATCATCCATGTGATACTATCATGGTATCACGCAGAAGGTACCCAGCCATGGGTGACTGAGAAACATTCAGTTACATAATTGGCAGATCCTAGCTTTTCTGAGGTTAGAACAACTCAGGTTTCAGAACCTGAATCCTTGCTGAAGGGAAAGAGGCATTAGCCTAGACTTCCTGTCTTAGAAAGCAGAATAATCAACTAGAATCTAAAATTTCCTCCTCAGTATGTGGTGCCAGAAAAACATATGAGAAAGGCGGGTGCCCATGACAAACAAGCAGAAATACTGAGTAACTGTAGCCACTGGGTTGGTTACTCTCATGACTGTTATCTCTCTGTGTGCTCAGACTGAGTGAGTTGAGGGATACAGGTGAAAGAGAAGAGTGCTTTCTGGCTCAGCTGTCTTGCAGGCCTTTGGGATACACAAAACATCAAGCCGACAATGTCCTGGAAAGTACATAGGCTACCTGATTGGGGTTAGGGCTAGGGTTAGGGTTAGGGTTAATGTGTAGCTCTGAGATGGAGCGGAGGCAAGCTGCCCAGTTTCATGCCTCCATTATCCAAGATCTCTTTGAGCCTCTGGCAGGTGGACCCAGGAGTTCAGGCTGTGAGCTCAATCCTTCTAGATGCTCAGCTACTGTGCTAAGAGAAGTTAAGAATTAGCAAAAGGGTTAAGAGACGTGAAACACTTGTTTAGTCTTTTCAGTACAGTTTTGGGACTATCTTTAGGGTATTTACATCGCATGGCAAGCATGGGATGTCATGGCAAGGACTGAGGGGTAATTCCTGGGGTATGGTATGGTTGGGGCTCTATTTGACTGTGGTGCTGCAGCCTCTATCCATGTCGAAAGAAGTTTTGTAGCTTTGAACTTAGCCCTTCCTCAATCCCCCTCCCAGCTTGAGGCTCCTCCCTTTGATTATTGTAGGGTAGCTTCACATGGCTGTGGTTAGGGATCTTGAACTGATTAATGATGCTCTCAGTGAAACTGTAGTCTTGTGAATAAAACAAATCTGCAGCTCATTCGACCTCCCAGGCACCCCTCCCCTGTCTGCACCCCCTTTACCCGCCCATGTTCCTCTCACTCCCCCAAAGTTGTCTCTCACGTTTTAGTTCGTGCCAAGGAGGAAACTTAAAATCAGGAAATTATTTCTGGCTCTGGTAAAGTATCAACCCTAAAACACTCAGCTCTCGGCTCATTGGAAGAGTGGCTGTCCACTGCCACCCCTGCAGCATCCCTCTAGCCTCTGCTTCCTAACGGGCCCACAGCATGGTCTCTGTGGCATCCTCCGTCCAAGAACTGTGGTGATATTGGGCATAATTTGAGGAAAAGAGTACTGATGGAGGAGAGAGGGCTGTCTAAGGTCTTTTCCAGTCTCTGAAATTGTGTATGAGATATTGAGTGGGAACAGGAGATGGATAGCAATGAACTTTAGAGGGGAAATGTTGCCTAATTTGTGAGCCAACCTCATTGTTTATGCAAAGATATGAAAACACAGACTGCTTAGCTTTTGAACACTATACATTTTTCCCCCTAAATCAGGATCTCCTTATCTCACTACTATCTAACTCCTCTGGAAAGAATAGTTCAGGCATACAAGTGTATGTAAGATGACCGAAATTGTTGTGTACCTGAAACTTTCTTCTCCATCTCCCTTTCTTTTCAATTAAATGTGGATCCTTCTATGGCAAGATCCTTGGTCCTGTGTTGGTGAGCTATAAACCATTGAGCCAAGGAGCCTGTCCTGACTCAGACAGAACATAAAGACTGCCTTATAGCCTCTGAATAAATCCAAGAATGAGACAATTAACTAACAAATATTTTATGAACAGAAGTTCTCTGTTGTATGTTGAAGCTAGAGACAGGAGCATTGGGTCATTTAACATTTATTCCGTATGATCTGTTATATGCAAATGGGGTAAGGTATTTCAAAATGAATTCTTTGATGTATAGTTTGCAAACTTTTTTTTTTTTTTGTTTCAGGGTACTTTTACCTTTTTAAAAATTATCAGAAAAATTTTAAGTGGGTTCTCTTGCTCAGCATTTATTCTTTTGGAACTAGGAAAATGTCTCAGCTGAAAATATTCCTTTTTTTATAATTATTAACACACATTGATTGCACAATTGATGAGAATCAATCACTCTGATAGTTCCATAGATACATGCATTGTGCAGCTGTCATGTCCATCCAACTCACAAGAATATGCAAGCTATTCAGGCTTAGTGGCATATACCTGTAATCCCAGCACTTGGGAGGCTGACGCAGGAAGATTGCTATGCATCTGAGGCCAGCCAGGGATGCATAGTGACTTCAAGGGCAGCTTGAGCTACATAGCAAGATCTTGTCTCAAGTAAACAAATAAACAAGCCAGCCAGCCAACCAACCAACCAATCAACCAACCACAAATACACTTTCCATTAACCACCAGAGGATAGTGTTATTACATAGAGTAAAACCCCACTGTGTACTTGTGAGAGTATAAGAATGAAAATGCAAATGTCTCAGTACCATTATAAAAATAGTTTTGACTTCATGAGCCCCTAAAAGTCCTAGAGACTCCCAGGGTCGCCCAGACTATATTTTGAAAACTGCTATTACACTGCTGCAGACCTCATAGAAGTTAGGGTACAGAGGGTGGGCTAGGCACTGCCATGGGAAGGAGCAGGAGAGAGCAGGAATCTGAGCTCCTGTGGAGGCAGTGAGGTCTCTCATTCATGCTTTTATTATCAGAATCACAGTTGTTCATGCAGCCACGCCTGTGCTGTCATTATACAGAGCCTCCTCCCTGTGAAGGTGGCCTTTCAATCTGGTGGGGATAGAGAGTTTTTGGACTGGAGATATCTGAACTTTCAAGGAATGTGAAATTTGAGAGAGCATATTTGAGTTGAAAGCTTGACTTTGTATTTGGGAAATGGGGGCTACTGTTCTACTATGAACTAAGGCTTGAGAAAAGATTCTAGACCAGAAGGATATAGTGGAGAGTGCAGTAACTCCCAGCTAGGAGTTGGGTGAGAGTTTAACATTTATTTTTAAAAAAACCCTCCTCAGCACCCCTTGGGTTATTAATTGCACCTTCCTTTCCTCTGTAGGTATTAACTCGCTGATAGCAAATAATATCTATGAGGCTGCCTACCCGCTTCATGACGTAAGTACTGTTGTCATCAGCATACTTGCTTGAGTCTTCCAGAAGTTGAACAACACAGTTCTCACCATATAAGGCAAGGCAGAGGGAATCATGACATTAAAATACTTCGGCAGACTTTGGCCTACTTGGTGCTGACAATAATGCTCAATTTGATTTTGCCAGTGATCTCAAACTGTCTCTCTTGGCAAAAGGAACTGGATTTTGTTTGAGCTTTCCTTTACTCTCTGCCTTTGTTCCTAGTCAAAGTATGAGTATAAAGATATAGCATGTAGGAGGGAAGAGACATTGGTGAAGGCTGGTGAATGGCCATGGAAAGAAACTCAGAGTCTTAGGGATTGCACAGTGCATTGGAGGCATTCCTTGTCTGGGAGTAATGTTATGAACGTCCCATGATGCAATGCAGTGATATTTGTCAAGATAATTCATGAAGCACTTAGCTGGCTCTCGAACTGTGTGCTTCCTGTTTTCACCCTTCATTGAATGGGTCACATCTTTAGCATCTGTCATGCAGTGGTGCCATGTGAGACTGTCCAAAAGGGATAGCTCAGGTGGGAGTCTCCTGTCATGATATGTCTGTTGTGGCATATGAAAGGTCCAGCTGGGCCAGTTGTGAATGGGAGTGATCATGCTATCGCATGGGATGATTTCCTGTGCTGTGCCAGTGTATGTCTGCACACGGGCTTTGCCTTTGCGTTTGCCTTGCGTGGGCACAGGCTTTTGTCTAAAACATTGGAGGGAGAACATCTTCGTGTGAGAAGCTATCCCAGTAAACATCACAAGCAGTGATGACTAAGAAAATGGAATATGGGCCCTTACCATGCCAAGCTTTTGACCTTCCTTAAATGGAAATTAAAAAAAACCATGAAACTAGAAAATAAAAAAAGAAAATTCCTCTCATGTGCCATCAGCTTTTTATACTTTCATTGGCCTTATCTGGCATCTCATCCTTTTCTTCTGCAGGGTGAATATGACAGTCCAGGGGATGACATGAATGACAGAAAGGTAAGCCTGCTTTGTGCTGTGTGGAACACTATGGATGGGTGTGGAACTGGCTACAAGTATTTATCTCTGTCTGTTTCCAGTGATTGTTTTTCTATAGTCGTCTTACTCTCAACATTCAGAAATGTGGGCTTGACCATGGCTGTGTGTGCTGTGGAAGTGCTCCTGGCAGTTAGTACCTAGGGGACCAGCAATGCTAACCATTCTGAAGCATACCCAGCATTCCTGTGCCCATCCCACCTCCACGGCCAGAGAGTCTCAATTAAGAAACTTGCAGGGTCTAAATTCCTTAGTGTACAGATGTAGAAACCAAGACAGAAAAGCTGAGCACCTTGCCCAGGATCACACAAGGATAGGTGCTCAGAATGACCTTGCCTCCCAATCCCAATGTCCCTACAAAAAATGCGCGCTTATCCATGCCACTGTGGCTTCTTTTACAGTCATTTTAAAGTTATGTTTTCCTGTCCTCTAGGCAGGCACGTGGAATGTTGTCACTTCCAAATTACAGATACGAAAGCTGAGGGAGAAGGATGCTCTGTCATGTTGTGTATTTCAAGAAGCTACAATCAGTTTACAGAGAGGAAAGGGGCAGGGTCCTTTGGGTCCTGACTGCAGAATGCTCTGTCAGGCCTCTGCCTTCATCTCTTCATTTTGATTGTGATACAATGGGGTTGTGGTGTGTTTTCATCCCCCGCCATGACCCAGCTCCTACAGCATGGTCCAGCCTCTTTCGTGGGATGCAGCTGTAACTCCTCATGCCATCATCGTCCACCTTCTTGACCAGTCATCAGTAGCTCTCTACACAGATGAGGGTGGGTGAGGGTGGGAGGGATGAGGGGTTGAAGCTCAAGAAGTTTCCTTCCCCCAACTCTGTTGTCTGGAAAACCATTCATCTCCCAAGTTGCTTTTTGAGCAGGCTTCTTTTTATCCCGCCTATTAGTCCCTGTTATGAAGTGTTAAGTATTAAAAACATAAAAGGTCTTTTCCAGAAATACTGCTGTGATTGCTTACACATGTCCCCTCTCTGGCCGCTCAGGGAATCTGCTGTAGCATTTCGATGTCTTAACCTCATCTGTTTTCTATCTGATCTAATAGTCTCGGTGTTTAATTTCCTGAAAAGTCCCACATCAGATTTAAAGGAAAAAGAGGAAGCGTTTCTCCCCACATCTCACCTCTCTCACACAACCATTTTCTGTCCTCCTACATTCTCATTTTGTGTTCCTCCCCTTTAAATGCTGATCACCATCCTCGGCCTGCCCTAGGAACCTCCTGCTGGGTGGTGGTGACCCAGCCTGTCCAGCGATGTTGCAGAATGCACAGTAACTCACGGGAGAAATCAAGACTGCCCTGTGTTATAAGCACTAGTAGACAGAAAAACTGTAAATACTCCAAAAATATGCGTGTATTTGTCTTTAGAATTAAATTATGCTTATTATTAGCAATGACAATAATACATTTTAATGACAAGTTTTTCTCCTAGGAAACCTTTTGCTTAGGCCAGTGGAATGGCACTGGTCAGTGACCAGTTGGCAGAGTAGGTGGGAACTGGGAGGCAGGGAGAGCTGCTGTTGGTTGGTTGCTCAGTGAAGGTCAACAAGTGTCTTTTGGAGACAACAGGACCCCTTCTTGTGGCTTGGTCTTGGGCCAGTTCTGGGTCCTTACTTTTCTCTGCCTGGGGGATGGGTGGAGAGATGTGTTTTGTCGTGATAGGGGATGAAAGAAGCCAAGAGGGAGAGTAAGAGCTTTTTTCTGCTCAACTGGGCAGGAAAACTGAAACCCACCCAGGACAGGGGACAGGGGACAGGTTGGGATGTTAATAAATGATGTGAAGTCAGGACTAAAATGTTGACATCCAAATGTCTGCAGAAAGAGGCGTTTGTACTTTGGTGGTGAGTTCCTTTTTGTGGGATTGATTCATTTCAGTGAATGTAGATGGTACCTACATAGTATCTTTACCGAGAAGGAGGAAAATCCCCTGAATATGTGCAGCCCAGTTTATCTGTATTACATACTGTGATGGTCAGTTGTTCGCTGCAGGAATGTTTTAGTTAGATACAGGGGAGGACTCCTGCATTTGGAGCTAGAGGGTGTGGAGAAGTCTTGAGAACTGCAGGGCAGCCTTGGACTTACAAGGCTGGCTTCAGTGGCATCCCAGGTGCCCACCCTCTCTGTGGATGTTTCCTTTCATTCTTTCCTTGCATTTTATAGTGGTTCCTCTGCTCTCTCCAAGTTTCCAGCTAGCTCAGGCAGACACCAAGCAAGCCCACAGGCTTCAGAGGATGGCAACCTGCTTCCCCTCTAGCTTGCCTAGAGCAGTGCTACAGACTCGATGACTTAGTCCAGGTAGGGGATGGAAGTTTCCCTCTCCCCTCCTGGAGGCAATTAAGAAGAGGTTTATTCTCTCTGGAGAACAGGGGTTTCTTGCTTTCCTAGAAGCCAGGGCGCAGGAAGAGGGGGTGGTCTGAGGGCAGATGGGTTTCTCCTGGCTGGAGGCTATCTTCTCTAGTGATCCACTCCCTCACACGTGTGTGAGTTAGTCCTGCATTTTAAGATCCTGTTTTTCAGATAAGGGAGGAAATTGTGACTTGGAGTTCTCGAGGATTAGTTTGCCAGGTTGCCGACTTTAATATGACTATGTGGAGAAGTTGAAACCTTGCCAGTTAATCCTACTGCAGGACCCAGGAGTAGAACCCATCTCTTCCATTCAGGCCAACCCTCAACCCATGAATGCCTCTGAGGTGCCTTCTGCTGGTGCCTATATACTGGCACTTTAAAACTGCTCTCTCAAAAGCTTATGGCCTCAGAATGGACCATGATCCCACATACCTTGCCTTCCCCTGGAATAGCAAGCAAAGTGTTCTTATGGTTTTAGGACCTGACTTCCTTGACAATTGTACAAAGAACTTGAATCAGTAATCTGCTGTCAAGCGTAGTCCTCCAGGGAGCTGACCTCGCTGCTTGTATGCTTGGATCTGTCTGATGGGGCAGACCCTATGCATTGTTTCCTATTGTAGAGTTTTGGGGTGCTGTCCATTTAGAAGGAGCCACCACCTCTCATTTAATTGCAGGTCTGGCCAGTTGATGAAGAGAAGACAGGGCATAAGGACAAAGTGGATTTGCTAAGGGCTGCAGTCGAAGATTCTAGACTCTACAAGTTGGAAGAGACTTTTAGGTGTTCTCATGTCTAAGCCCCTGTACCTTACCTGTGCTGTGCTGCTCCTCCTGGGGCAGAAATTCCTGCATGTGCCTCCCTTCACCCTGACTGCTAGCTGCTTCTGGGACCTGGGACCTGGAGTCTGTCATGACCCACTTGTTCTTGATCATGGGTGATGGAACATTCTTAGAGGTGGGGAAGAGTCTGTTATACTTCCTCCTGCCTGCAGATGACAGCAGAGTGTGGGCTTCCTGGTAAGATCCATGTGAACAACTGCATGGATGCTGCCCCACCTTCCCAGCGTGGTTCTTCATAGCTCCCACTGCTTTCTCAGTGGCTGCCTAGTGATTCTGTCCTCTGTACCCATACAGCTCTTCTATATCAAGCTCAAGCAGCTTTCTTTGCCCATCCTTGCCTATACTCACAGCAGCAGATATAACATTGTACTTAGAGGATTCCATACTGAAATAGGGATTGAACATGTCTTTCAGAGTCCAGAATTCAACTGGATTAAGGCTTCTGAGGTTGCCTTTTAGCTTGGGTTGTAGCTAATTGGAGCATCTTTGCTTGGAGTATTTTTAATTTTTTCCCCTCTAGAGCAGTGACAAACAGGTCTTCTCAGGCTCAGGATTTAGTTGAACATGTGACCTAGGGAGGAATTTGCTTTCAAGGTCAGAGCCTGCCTGTGAAGCAGGCAGTGACGTCCCATGGTCCTCAAGGAGGGCCCTGCCTATATCTCTTGACGCAAACAGGTCTCCCTTTGGGCCACAAATGATGGCACTGTGACAACCAGGTACTAGAGAGCCCAAGGTTTGAACTTGGGAGAAAGAAATCAAAACTAAGGGCAGCAGAAAAACCTAAGATGGAGGAAAGGAGGGAGCACAGTAATAATATATTACAAGGCTCCTCCTTGGAATGAACAGAATCAATGTTCATGATTTCAGATCATGCCCAGTGTAGCCTCCTCTTGTATCTCACTTTTTCTCCTTTGCAAAAGCAGTTCTCATTTTAGTTTTAGTATCATGTCTTCAAGACTGTTGTAACACAATGACTTCCTGAGGGCCCATGCTCAGTTAATATCCCAAATACCTCAGTAGAGCAGGTTTTCCTGGATGGATTTCCTTGTGAGTTGTGTGTGATGTAAAAAAGGTGTGATGTGTAAGGAGCATGAAGAGCATAGCAAAATAGCAGCTGTATTGAAAATCTGTCTATTCTAGGCATATTATTCGAGTAAGCGCCGATTTCTGGGCAGCATGGATTTCTAGGTGAGGTCTAATAGTGGTCCATTGCCGAATTTCTTTGTTTGCTGGTGGATGATTTGTGAAGCTTGCTGTCCAGGGGTTTGACATTAAAATATTGGGGGGTGTGGTTTGCCTACCTGTACAGATTTCATTCATGTGTTAGTTTTGCCAAATTTGCTACAAAATTCTCACAAATCACATGGCGTGAAGTGTTTGGTACAATGAATCATACTGTCTACCCCCAGCCTCTTGAATTTGATGCAGTCAGATTTTGCCTTTTCCTTTCCCAGATGCTCTTTTGTCAAACTCAGTGATTTTTCAGCTTATTGAGTTTAACGGCAATTTTCCATTGCTATGTGACCTGACCCACCAGTAGTATTTGACCCAGCTTATTTTCTCCTCTTGGAAACTCTTTCTTCTTTTAGACTTTGGAACCCCATGTACTTTGGCTCTTTCCCTATACCACTGACTGCTCCTTCCACCTCTCTGCTTGATCACCACTTTTGTACTCTTTATTGCTCAGTTTGCTGCCTGCGGTCTGCCTTCTGTGAGATCTGCGGTGACGTTAGATTTTCATAGGAGTGTGAACTCTAATGTGAACTGTGCATACCAGGGACCTAGGTTGCATGCCCTTCTGAATCATCATGCTTCAACCCCTGCCCAGTTTTTCCAGGGAAAAATAGCCTTCCACAAAATCCATCTGTGGTGCCCAAAAGGTTGGGATCCACTGCTCATTAGAATGCTTTAGGTCCTTTCTCTACTTACCATTTCTTCTTTGGTGGTTATATCCATAGTACAATGGCTTTACAAATAATTTCTTTTCTAGTAATCCCCAAATCCGCATCTCCACTCTGGATACCCCTTAGTATCTCCACTGGTTTTCTAAAGAGCATCTCAAATTAGTACACCTTAAAGTGAGTTCTTGGTTCTGCATATCACAACTTGGTCTTTCTATAGTCTTCTTTACTTCAGTAGATGGTGTCACTGTTACTCATTACTGAGGCAGAGTTCTTATTTTCTTGCATTCAGTCCAACAGTAAATTAATAAGTAGTATCAGCTACTTCCCACTATGTCTCTTACCATATCATTGTTACAGTCATTAACTCTCACCTGGACCATTTCAACAATGTCTTTTGCAAAGTGAACCTTCTATGGTTAAATAAGATCATTTCTCCTATAGGCTGTGAATCTCCCTCAAAGTTCAAAACCCTGATGATATGCACACTACTGGTACCTTCTGCTGTTACTTCCCACTGTTATTTCCATGGCCATTCTGTCCCAGGTACACACTTTCTTTGATCTTCCTAGGACATACCATAGGCTCCAGGGCCTTTGTACAGGAAGATTTTTCTCTCTGAAGCATTTGCCCATTTCATTCTGGTTTCAGGTCGTGTCACTTCCTCAGACAGAACCTTTCTGCCCATCCTATCTAAAACACCACCCTATGCCACTCTCTCTTACCTTACTCTCTCTTACATCCTTACCTTGATTTATTTTTATAACATTTATTTAAATCTTATGTGCTTATGTTTGTTTCCCATACCAGGTGTAAGCTCCATGACAGCAAGAACTCTTCTTTGTTTACTGCTGTAATCAGGGTTGGGACAATGATTTGCAGATAGAAGATGTGCAATGAATGCTTGTTAAATGAGTGAATAATAATGCCAGGAATAGGCAAAACAAGGGAATCAAAAAGGAAAAGTTCAGCTTATTAGGTGTAGGACGGCCTCTGAGTGTGACAAACACTACCTTTGTTTGGGAGAAGGAGAAGGCAGTTGCTCCAGCTTCTTGCTTTGAGCATCTCCTTTGTAGATGCCTCCTGAAACTTTTCTTAGAAGCTGGGCTAAGCTGGGGATACAGTTATGACTTGCTAAAATGGACAAAATAATATAAACAGTTACTCACCATCATCTTTCATCTGTCTCCCTATTTTTCTTGCTTAGCTGCTGTATCAAGAGTGGGCACGCTATGGAGTGTTTTATAAGTTTCAACCCATTGACCTCATCAGGTAAGCTATAGGTGTGCTGTTTTGGGAGATGCTCCAAAGTCAAATCCTGAAAGATACACTGCTAACCCCCTCAGCTTCTGCTGCCTGTTGTCCTAGCAGAAGGATCTGTTTGCCTCAGGTGTGTGATCTCACGTTCTATGTCTTGTGTGTGATGAGGCAGCAGAGAGATGGGATGGGAAACTGATATCCTTTGACTTCCATCCAGAGGTCCTCAACAACATGGCTCTCTTTCCTTGCCTGGGCTTTGAAAGTGCGATAATTGCCTCTTATTCTTTTCCGTAACCTGTCTAGAGTGATATCCAGATGGCCACAGTGTGGACCGAGTGGAAAGAAGTTTTGGCAGATAGCGTAAGGAGTAAGCTGTCTGGCCTGATGGGGAATGTGGGCTCCTTATAGCCTTTCTACACTTGATCTTAGTCAAAAGGCTGAGAAGTAATTTTTTTGTAGTTTTTCTAGAAGGGAGGTTAGAATGGGTCCTGGATTTTCTTTGCTTCTGCACCCAGAGTGAATCCTGTTGCTGGTACCTTAGAACTTTCCTCAGCTTCTCACGGATGAAAGTCCTTTGAAGGAATTTAAAAGAATGTAATAGGTCTAGTTAGTTTAAAATGGGTCAGGCTCTAGAAATCCAATATGCTTTTAGGGTTCTACTACTTTCCTGGATTGTTGGTAGGGAACACTGAGAAGGAGGAAGATGTTGGATTGAGAATCTGGAGACCTGGGTTCTAGTCTAGAGCAGGGCACTAAGCGCTACTGATTCTTTGGGCCAGCTACATTTGTTCTTTGGCCTTCATGGTCCTGATTGTCATACATTGGGAATCTATGCAATAACTTGGTAGAGCATGGTCATTTGGAAAAGGTGAGGAACTGTGGTGGAGACTATGACTGACAGGATGGCCTTCTTGAGTCAGTTAGTCAGCCTACAAATGCAGAGAGTATTCCTGGCTGGTTTTCCTGGGCTGGGATTCTGAAGGAGGGTAGCTGTTTAAAGGGTTGAGTCTACAGGGAGGAGTTCCAGTTTCTTCTTGGAAAAAGAGCACAGCATTTGGCCAGAGTTTGGGCAGGTTTACCTCCTATGCTGAGATGTGACAGGCCTCCCAGGGAGCTGTGAAAAGCAGGTGTTGGTTCCAGCTGAGGACCTTGGGCATGGGAGCAGGGGTGTGGGGTGGCTGTGACCCAAAATCTTTACCCAGGAGCTCTGTTGTCTGGTTGCCTTTTTGCAATTTTGGGCCACCAACACTGTTCTTGAGATCACACCAAGTCTGCTTCCTCCATTCTTGTGGGCTTTGATCTCTCTCTCTGGATCTCAAGTGGCCACCCACCTCTGTCGCCTGTTTTGTCCAACTGCCCATTTGTTTTTCTAAAGCATGAATAAAAAATGAAGATCTTCCCTACCAGAGAGGATTCCTGTATTTTCCCCAAAGACTTCAGGTAACTTGCCTGCCAGCTAAGTGAGAAGTGGCTCCAATATGCAGTGGGTTTTAGTCACCAGAGCCGCCAACCTACAGGAGGAGAATTGCTTTTGAGCAGACCTCTATTCTGGGGCCTGGTGGATGTGGAGAGCTCAGATTTGTCTAGGCAGAGCACAGGAGCTGGAGTGGACCTGGAGGTCTTCCACAGCACCTCCCAGGGCACACAGCTCAGGGTGCTCCCACAGACCCTGGGCAAGGCCAGTGGTGGTATGCTGGCAAAGAGAGAGAAGGCTGAGCTCAGAGGGGCAGGGGAGGTGGGCTGGATCCTGGAGAGCATGTCGGGGAGTGGGGTAGATTGTCATCCATTCAGTGGCATAAGGACCTGCTGAAAAGAGAAGTAAGGACACTAGAATGGGTGCTGGACCTACGTGAGCAAGGAGAGATAGATAGGGACACTGCATAGGTGCATGGAAAGCTCATAAAAGACAAGTGGGGTGCAACAGGTGGGAAACAGCTCCCGGCAATCTACAAGCTCCACACTGAACTCACTTTTACATTTTGCATTCTCTTCCCAAGTGGCCCTGGCTTGCTTGTTTTGATTTTGTGAAAGGCCTCTCCTTTCTTTTCATCGTCACCTAACCGTGGAGCCTCAGGATCCTGATGTTTTTCTCTCTCTTCTCATCTGTGAATGATTCCTTAGCACCATTTCTCTTTCCTGCCTTTTCTCCTCCATCTTTCCTGCCTCCTCCTGTGAGAACCCACCTGACCCACAGTGCAGGCTGGGGCTCTTCTCTGGGAATCATCCTGGGTTCCTCACTCTGACAGTTCACTCTGCATAAGAATGTGCATTGTACCTCTCTACACCACACACAGACATTGCACTCCTGTGGTCTGTCTAGAAAGATGGATGGAAGGAGGTGATTCATGCAATGCATGGCCAAAGTATTTCCTGCCTATTTCCTGGGTCATTCTACTCCTCATTTTAGTTCCAATGTTTTGCCCCTCCTATGGAACCCTACTGCTCTTGCCCTGTGACAATTGCTTGTCATGTTTGGTATGAAAACACTTGTGTGAGCAGTTAAGAGCTCAGTGGGTGGGAGATTTGATTGCATATTCAAAGCCTAGGATTATTACCCTTCTAATCTTTTGTCTTGAGGCCTGGGGCTCACTTCCTGGAAGCTGCAAGTCAACCAAGTGCAGAGGCAAATGCCTTCTCTGCAACTCCTGCCCACATTCCCCCAAGCGCACCATCATTCATGCCCAGCAGGCTGCACTGTGAGACTGCTGATTGCTCCTGCCCAGCCTAACAGGACTCTGTACCCTGGATCCCACCTTCCCTCTGGAAACCTTGGGAGGGGGAAAGATGGAGAGATAGAGAGGTAGAGACAGCATGTTTCTTAGGGAGGATCCAGCAAGCAGGAACCCAGGTGTCAGTGTGCCACCCAGCCCCAGAAGATGCCCCTGGGAATTTTCAGCCAGCAGCACCGTTGCCTGGCAGAGGCACAGTTTGTGGCCCAGAATGATGGGGAAATGAAGCCCAAAATGGAGTCAATGGCTCTTGTCCTCCCCAGAGAACTGACAGAAATTTTCATAGCCAGAGGAGCAGGTTTCTGACTGGGTGGCTCTTAGTCAAGGCCTCAAGGACCCAAGAAGGAAATAAGCCTTGATTTTCTGGGGGACTCAGGAGATCTGAGGGATTTTGAGTTGGTACAGGCCTGATCCATGCTAATCAGGATGATGATCTGTCTCTTTACTAAAATTAATGTCTTTTCTCAGCTTGAGTTCTTAACTTAGAAGTTTTCACACAGATGAGCCAAAAATGGCTATTATTTATTTATTTATTTGTTTGTTTGTTTTGGTTTTTTGAGATAGAGTCTTGCTATATAGTTCAGGTTGACCTTAAACTCCCTATGTAGCCCAGGCTGGCCTCAACCTCTCAGCAATCCTCCTGCCTCAACCTGTCTTGCTGGGACATGGGTATGTGCCACCACACCCAGTTTCAAAACAATAACTTCTACAGTTATTGTTTTTCTCAGTTTGATTTTGCTTCTGACTATATTCTGCTGAAACTAATGCATAAAGTTTTTTTTTCTTTTAATTTTTAAGCATCTGCTGCTGCTGGCCTGTGACAGCCTGAGAAATAGAGGGTTCTGGAAGTCTGCTAATCTCAGGGAACTGCATCCTGTTGACTTGGGGGAATGGTGCAAGGGGTGCACTGCTGTACCTAGCCAAGATTACAGTCTAGAAAGGAAAGTGGTTTCCCCTTCTGGGATACTTGATTCCTGAATGAGGCTCCATGCACTGAAAATCAGGGTCTGGCGTAGAGCCTGCCCCGTGACATTTCTGGAGTTCTCTTATACATGGCTCAGTTTGAAACTCTGGCATATGGCACAGCTTCCTCAATAATCTCAGTGTGAAACCAATGGAAGGACCATCTCAATATTGCCACACATCCCTGGGAGTGGCTCCTGATTTAGATCAAACTTTTAATCTGCCTTTCTGTAGCATTACCGGTATGGTACAGACGTTGGGTTCCAAGGCATCAACAGGCTATGTATATTTCCTACAGCCTCTCAGAATTCTGTGAGCAAAGCTGGGTAAGAAGGAGATATCTGGCTTACCAACACTCGCACCGCTTGACTTTCTTTTTCATGTCCTGCTTTTTAGGGAGAGAAAAACTGATGTTAGTCTGAAAAAAATATAATGATTTATATCTTTTCCCCTCCTGGATTTTGTATGCAACTAACTCTTGATTATCCAGAGGCCTTGAGGACAAACCATGGTATTGCAGGTTTAAAGCTCAGACAGCTTAGTACCTGGATGTTATGGTTTAGACCAATAATGTCCCCAAAGGTCCCATGTACCCAGAGGTAGGACTTTTGGAAGGTGATTGAAGCACTGGGTTAATAATGCTCACATGCTTTCTGGAGGTGGGATCTGGTCAGAAGAGGCAGGTCACTATAGGCATGACCTGGAAGGGTATATCTCTCACCCCAGTTCCTCTCTGCTTCCTGATCACCATGACATGAACAACTTTCCTCCTTCTAGGCCCTTCCACCATGCTCTTCTGGCTTGGAGTCAGCTGATGAGAGACTGTCACTATGAGCCAAAATAAACTTCTCCTTGTTTACATTGTGGATATTGGGTATTGTGTCTCACAGGCAAAGAAGGTGACTAAAACACTGGCTCTGGAATGAAGAAGTGAAGAATTATTTTCACTGCATGTTTATCTAATAGATGCCCTGTGTTTGCTTGATTGCTTTTGTTTTGTTTTCTTTTGTTTTTAGATAGGGAGCATGTAATCTGAGGCAAAGCTTGTTTCTCTAGTGGATGTCTCAGCCATTTGGAGGACATGGAGCATGAATGAGAACTCTGTGGATCTCCACCCCTTTGATTCCATTCTGCTTCCTGGACCTGCATAAAACAAAGTTATTCTGTGACAGTCCACTTTAAATCTGAGGCAGTTAACTTAAAGGGAAGTCAGTTATATTTTGGCTCAGGGTTTCAGAGGTTTCAGTCCATTGTCCCTTGGCTCCCTTTCTGTGGGCACATGGTGCCCTGTACGTTACGGTAGGAACATGTGGCAGAGGA